CTGCTCTGTTTTAGTGCTTATCCTGAAATGTCGTTAGAGTTCTAAATCAATCGAGTTTTGATGAAACATATTCGCACCTGCGAACGTTAGCTGTACGTTACTGTTGTCTCCCCTGTACATAACGCTACTGTTATCTCCCCTTCTTAATGGTATTCATTAAATCAAGTACAATTAACTAAACGGACAAAACCACAGATTTCAATATTTTCAATATTTAAAATCTACACATCTTGATTATAGCGCGCAGTCAGGCTTTAGAGGGGGTTTTTCAAATACGTGTATTTTGAATAAAAACGATTTATAAAACACCGTGTCGATGAGATTTCCTTGCCCTTTATAATGACTGCTAGACTGGGGATAAAGGCATGTCTTCAAAACGAAGCCAATTGTGTTAATCCTGGCCTGCCCGGGCTGTCAGGTGAACACAGTTCCCATTAAATAATTATCTGGCCTCCGACCTTCTATATTGTCCTGTAGGTTACGTGTGATAGAATAGAAATAGAAGTACCTGTTGAGTAAAAAAAACTCTTAAGGAGACCTGATAAGAAAGAACGTGATATTTAAAACAACTATAAAAGTTACAGAGTAGCAGCGTAATGTGTTATATCTTCGACAGGAAGGAGATTCATTTTTTGAATATATTTGATGGCATCACCTTTCATGCACAAATAAAATAGCAATTAATTACACAAAATACAACTTTGGGCCAGTTGATGTGAAATAATCCACCGTAAATTCATGCTTTTGCGCAGAAACTTGCATCTCTGTCATGGAGATTCTATACCCGCACAAGCAAGGAGCTTATCCACTGCGCGTCAGGCCATGACGTATATTACCATAATACTTTAACTACAACATTAAATGCATAATTTAAAAATACTTCCAACAAAATGCCCCCCAAAGAAAAGTATCTTCATATTAATAATGAAGAGCATATAACCTAGAATATAGTAAAATATAACTTAAAATTACGTTACATAAAATATGTCACAGAGCTGCTATAGGGCTAAAAAAACACTTTTCACTTTAAATCTGCAGAGGTATCGCGTTGTTAGCAGTGCCGTGCAAAGTCTACTGTGATATTCTTGATACTAGACTTACCAAGTAAACTGGGCGACTCTAGGGGCCAAAACATTCGAATCATCAGAGGGGAAGGTAAATAAAACCAGTAATTTATTAATTGTTTACTTGCAATTAGTGACGCTAATTGTGAAAAAAGATCGAAAAAACCTAATTAAACTATTCAAATTACTCATTTAAATATGAGGTAAAATTTGGACATAGTCGGGTTTTAGGACTCCCACCCTTCGTAATGCACATGCGTTTTTGGCGTATTTTCGTGTCGTCATTTCCGTATTGCGTTTTGGGTATTTCAATACCGTAGTGTAAATTATAGTAACACCGGGTCAACAATAGTACACGTGCGTGACGATGATATGTCACCACACGATATCGAGACTTAACTGGGAAATGTGTAATCATACGTACTTCAGAAATAGAGATTCCGATACAAAGACATAAACTGACTCACGAAAAGACACTGACATGAGACCAGACGACTTCAAGAAGGTAATATATGAAGCGCATGAAATTTGGACTAATGCGTTTTGTGTACCAACCTCACATGTGTATATCACGTGCTTACACCAGTTCACAAGCCCGAGTTCATTACGATTTTCGATGTCCAACGAGTTACGCTCTGTCGAAAAATGTTAAAATAGTGTTATTGGAAAAATTATTGGGATCCCTATAAAAATGCGTGTGGGTGGACGTGAGAACGGCATAGATTCTAGTTACATAATTTGCATGCAATAGTGGGCTGTGGAATGATGTCCAAAGTGTACATAATTGAGAGTAATTTGGTTCCATAAAAGAACAAGAAATTGTCACTTTTGATATCATAATTTTAAAGCATTTCCATAAGTTTTGATATTTTTTTGAAACGGATAACTGTCATTGTGTAAATTTTATCCCTCTGCAAAACGTTCTAATTGTTTTTAAGGAAGACAACTCTCACCATGATCTAAGTGATTGTAAAATGTAAAATAGATTTATTATAAAGCCATTGTGTATATTTTGTTCAATTTTCCACTATTTTTGTATGAAACTTTGTGTCCTGTTTGCTTCTAGCTTGTAGATAATCACTTTTAACCATACAATTTCAATAAAACACACTTTGTGTCACGTGTTTTATTTATTTTGTTGTGACAAATAAAATACTTGTAGTGTTAGTTAACAATGCTTATTTTCATTTGTTAATGATCCGAACAATGCAACACACCAAAACAATTCAAAATATTAAAATTGACAAGCTGAATGTTTGAATATTTAGGGCCCAAAAAATCCCAGTCTATCGGAATGATTAGATTTTCATAAAATCACTACTACATAAGTATTATATTCCGCTGGTTAATTGCGGAAGGGTGGGCCGTCCTTAAATAAGATGTGTTGTGTATGTTTTCCTATCCCACCTTCCACCCTATGAGACACATTATTATAAGGAAATTGTGGGTATCGAAAACCATATTTGTTGCTTTGCATTAAATAAAGTTCTGTATAACTAACAAAGGGAAAGGATGCACACATACTTTGTGTAAGAAATCACAAACTTCACTGCTCTGTTTTAGTGCTTATCCTGAAATGTCGTTAGAGTTCTAAATCAATCGAGTTTTGATGAAACATATTCTCACCTGCGAACGTTAGCTGTACGTTACTGTTGTCTCCCCTATACATAACGTTACTGTTATCTCCCCTTCTTAATGGTATTCATTAAATCAAGTACAATTAACTAAACGGACAAAACCACAGATTTCAATATTTTCAATATTTAAAATCTACACATCTTGATTATAGCGCGCAGTCAGGCTTTAGATGGGGTTTTTTAAATACGTGTATTTTGAATATAAACGATTTATAAAACACCGTGTCGATGAGATTTCCTTGCCCTTTATAATGACTGCTAGACTGGGGATAAAGGTATGTCTTCAAAACGAAGCCAATTGTGTTAATCCTGGCCTGCCCGGGCTGTCAGGTGAACACAGTTCAAATTAAATAAATATCTGGCTCCGACCTTCTATATTGTCCTGTAGGTTACGTGTGATAGAATCGAAATAGAAGTACCTGTTGAGTAAAAAAACTCTTAAGGAGACCTGATAAGAAAGAACGTGATATTTAAAACAACCATAAAAGTTACAGAGTAGCACCGTAATGCGTTATATCTTCGACAGGAAGGAGATTCATTTTTTGAATATATTTGATGGCATCACCTTCCATGCACAAATAATATAGCAATTAATTACACAAAATACAACTTTGGGCCAGTTAATGTGAAATAATTCAACGTTAATTCATGCTTTGCGCAGAAACGAGCATCTCTGTCATGGAGATTATATACCCGCACAAGTAAGGAGCTTATCCACTGCGCGTCAGGCCATGACGTATATTACTGTAATACTTTTACTACAACATTAAATGAATAATTAGAAATTATACTTGCAACAAAATGCCACCAAAAGAATAGTGTTTTCATATTAATAATGAACAGCATATAACCTAGAATATAGTAAAATGTAACTTAAAATTACGTTATATATATATGTCACACGGCTGCTATAGGGCTCATACCCCTTTTCACTTTGAATCTGCAAAGGTATCGCGATATTAGCAGTGCCGTGCAAAGTCTACTGTGATATTATTGATACTAGACTTACCAAGTAAACTGGATGACTCTTAGGGCCAAAACGTTGGAATCTAACTAAATCTGAACTAACTTCATATAACTTTGGCTGTCGTGAGGATGTTCAATCCCGATCAAAATACCAACAAAAAGATATTTATTTTACTTCTTTTTACCTTTGGTTCCTAATGGATCATATGGTACAGTAAATGATTTTCTTTGTTCGGCTCTCTGCATGGACTTTGTTTTGAATAGAGGATTCTCTACATTGGGGACATAGCTGCGACTAAAAATAATCTGATACACCCATTGCAACATTTGGGACCTTTCTATTTTCATCCAATCGTTCTGTTTCCTAGCGCCTTGCTTTACAATATCTCACATTTGGCATTGATGTTGGACGTTCGTCCAAGTGAGGAAGGCAATGGGTTTTGTCCCCAGACCGGGACATACAAAGTCATTACAAACGGTAGTTGTGATTACCTTATTAACGTTCAGCATTTAAGGTAATGCTACCAACTGGTTTATCCGTTGCCGGTATGATATAACAAGGCGGAATACTCTGCTGCTTGCCTTCGGCATGGTATTTCAGTGAGGTAGCACTCTAAAGTCGGCATCAGATCCGCACTGTCGCAAGTAGACAAATACACCAACATAACATGCCCTCAGCACACATACAAACATGCACGCATACAGTAAACATATAAATGATCCTAGGTATAACAGGACATTAAACAAAACAAAACAAAAAAAGAAACATCCAAAGTCGGGATCAGGTCTGAGGATGAGGATACACACAAATGTACAGCCTCCAGTATACATTACACGCACGGGGGCACGTTCTTAGCTGACACTTCACCCCAACCCACCCCTTCCCACACTCCCATTAAGTATCGAAACTCAAGTATCGCGATGGGGGCAGTTTTAGAGTTTCTGAATTGTACTTAAGCCGAATACACAGAAGAAACACCCGAAGCAACCGGGTGGGGTGGAGGTGGGTAGGGGATGCACATCTCATGACATGAAGTAGGATGTGGAAAAAAAAAACCACCCCCCACCCCCACCCCCATCCCGAACCTGCATTGGTCCCGCCGAATAAAGAAAATAGATAGTAAAAAAAGTAAGAAAAGTAGGTATCAAAGATAGAACGAAGGATGTATTCTTAGTGTTGCAAAAGGATACAGCGGATCAAGTTTGGTATCTTGAATGTCCTCTTTAACAGAAGACGTGGTAGGGCACACATTAGTCTCCTGTTTCGATAAAATGCAATGGGGTAGACAACAGTGGAAACAGCACAGTATTTACTTGTATTTTCCATTTTCAGATCCAGTGGTGGGTGAATGGCGGTAAATGCGGTATCTGTGGAGATCGGTATGACCTTTCTGTCCACGACAACGAGCCGCCGAATGGTCGATTTGCAAATGGCATCATAACTGGATATTACGTAAAAAGTGGCACTATCAATATCAACGTGGAGATTACTGCAAGTCATAAAGGATACTTCGAGTTCCGGTTATGCCCAAATAACAACGTAAGGAGAGCAGCCACGCAATCCTGTCTAGATCGCTACCTCCTACAAGAGTATTACGGAAATTCAACCAGGGTTCACGTCGATGACTCGAGTGTTGGGTTTTACGACATTAAAATGCGACTCCCATACGACGTCACGTGCTCGCAGTGTGTCCTGCAATGGCGTTACATATCAGGTTTGTCATTTGATGCATCTGCTATGAGGTCTAACAATAAAGTTAATTCTAGTTGAACAACGTATACTAATTTTGTTAGGTTTAATTTAAATTAACGTCCTATTATCAGCTAAGGTCATTTGAGGACGTATCTCCGTGTGCATAATATATTCGTTTACTTCCCGAAAATAGCGGCATTTGAATGTTTTATTTTTCAAAATGATAAAAAGTGACGTAAGCCCCGCAAAGCTAGTAATAACATACTGATTGTTCGTTGTATATTGTAATTCAAATAGCAGCAAGCAGTCTGAATGGCAAAATATAACAAGAGCGCTGGATTTAATACGAAAGTAATCTATGTTAATGGTGCATCATCATTACCGTAATGCTAATGAGTTTAAAGGAGATCTCCCTTATGACTCGTAATAATATTCTTGCAAAACTATGCTGAAGTTTGTGTAGCACCAACAGATGTTCTCCAGCTTCACGTCAGTCAAAGTGTTCATATTCGAGATACATGTATGTATCGTTTCCTCTCCCCCGGGTATCGGCTGTTTTCTATGGTCATATGGAAAACGTTATTTGTGTTGTTTTCTATCTTTTTTAACACTTCTAAGGTTAATGTCACACCGAAGATGATATGACACATCGTGTAATGACAAGTCTTCTGGTTGCATCGAAATAGTATTCATTAGAGGCCGATACTCAAACCTTAACACAAAGTACTCCATTGAACAAATCATTTCATAAAAATGTATCACACTAAAACAGTTTTTATAAACATCATGTATTAAAAACTAGCTGAACACATTTCAGTAAGAAAATCGATCTGCTGTTCTCATGTAACAGTTAAGGAATATAAGGGGGAAATACTGCCTTACTTGTAAGCTAGCTTTTCCAGTGATGCGGTATTACCCAGGACCCGCTCACTAGTTCAGCGTCGAGCGTGGTCAGTAATTGGATTGGTGACCACCCGCACGTTACATTTGGTGGCAGCGTAGTGACTCTGTGGTCGTGTAAGGCCAGTTCCCGGTGGTTAGGGAAGGTGCATTGATACACTGGGAGGACCTACGTTATTCCCTAGGAGCAAGCTATCTTTTCCAGTGATGCGCTATAACCCGGGGAACTTCTAACTAGTTCAGCAACGTCGAGCGTGGTACAAGATACAAGAAACTTTATTTAACGTCGCATATATCAAACATAGAAACATTAGCGCTGTAGCGCTATTTTTGCGACAAACATGATAAAAAGCACACAGAAAACAACAAAGCAAGCTATCTCTATCACAGAAAGCTAGCACATAATCAGCGAGTAAAACATACAATAACATAGCAGCATATAAATAGATATCACAGGCACTTAATTTAAAGTACTATACTAAAAATGATGTACAGTGGAAATAGTGAAACAGCTGCATATCACACAGGTGTTGCTATATTATAGGAGGGTTAAAACACTTCAAGTGTAATGTACATACATGCTAATATAGCAAAAGAGTAAAAATTGACATAATATACACTAATATAGTGTAAATCAAAATAGGACGACAAGGTCTTGTAAGTAAAAGATATTGAGCTATAATGATGATTAGAAGAGAGGGCTAGAAACTATGCAGCCAGTTATTGGTATATAAAAGCGCCATGCAAATCAAAAGTTAAGCTAAATAGGTAGGTAAATAAATAATAGATAAATAAAGCAGGTAACTAGTAATAAAGACTAAAGCACTGAAAAAAAACATTAAAACTCTAGACACAGGTACAGATACGACCTGAGCAAACGGGGCCATCCCAGGAGTGCAGCAGTCTGGCAAACTCTGGATAACTATCCACCTTCCTCAAATGGTTTGGCAGACTGGTCAGTAGTTGGATGGGTGACCGCCCGCACGTTACACGTATTCCGTCTTTTCGTATTGCAAAGTTACCTTCTCTTGTGGTCAGGTATTGATTGTTACGTCATTTGTTTGTGTGTAACGTCATCAATTTCAGAGAAAACGACGTAATTTTCTCACACAAATCAGTGACGTTACAATCAATACCTGCTCACGAGGACGATAACTCTACGCAAAGACGGAATAGCAATACTTCGGATTGTTTTCTTTTCTCCTGCCTACCTTTACTTTGTTTCCGGCGGTGTCTCCTAGGTACCCGTCTTCACATGACCTTAGCTGATGCAATGACGTTAAACCCGAAACTCTATTCACCATCTTTTCTTTTATTCACATCCCTTGCAGATCGGGGATTGAGAAAAATAATAAACCTGCAGTTAACAAATGCATGTTGTTAGAAGCAACTGATGGGGAAACCTCCTTCCAAATTTTGTCCCTCTACATGTACATACATCTGCTGCACCCTAGCAATACTTAGGATCTTTACATTTCTCTGTAGTTCCTGACAACCTCTTTTGTTTTCAAGCGTGTTGAACGTTCGCCCAAGTGAGGAAGGCAATGGGTGCTGTCCCCATGTCGGGACATACCAACGTCCTTAAGATGACAGTGGCTGTTCCCTGCTTAACGTTCACTATTCAGGGTAAAACCGTTGTTGATGTGACCGTATGGAATACTATGGTGGGCATGCATTTCAGTGAGGTAGCACTTTAAGTTCGGCATTAGTGCGATCGCAAGGAGGCAATTAATACAAATACACCAACAAACCGTCAACAGGCACGAACTGGAATTACTTGAGCTTTCAATAAGACATTAAAAGAAAACAAAATATCCATCTCCACTCTTTGTCTGCCGTCCTTTAATTTTGGGGATTCCCTTTTTTCTAGATGTTCAATCTCATTATACATGAATATTATATTATCGTGAGGCGACTAATGTTGGGATATTACATCAATTGAACTTTTCCCTGCAAGCAGAACGCACATTAGAACAGATACAGCATCAGACGCTTCATGCAGTAGAGATATTTCCTCTTGAATTCCGGCGTTATCGGCCTTCAAGATTTGTCATAAATCAAGCAATGGCTTCATAAACACCTATTTATACATCTTCATATGGTAACACATGATTAGGCCTGAAAAATATTAATATTTCGTTTTAATGTTTTTATATCTCACTCATATCTCTTACTTTTAACAGGAAACAGGTGGGGCTGTGCCAATAACGATTTCATCCGAGGCAATTGTGGATTAGGTTTTGGACCACAGGAAGAATTTTACGCATGTGCAGATATTGCAATTCTTGAAAGTGACAAAGACGACCATTCAACTCCCTCTCCGACCACACAATTTCCGCCGATTACACCAAGAGTACCGACCTCACTGACCACAAAATCACCGCCTGTTACAACAACTCCAACAACGACCCCTGCCACGACACAATCTCCAACTCAACTCCCTGTAACTCGTATGCCGCCTCCCTCCATCCAAATCGTGTGCAAGTCCGCCGGTGCCTGGAAAGGGTTGCTGGCCATGGACAGGTGGTGTCACGTCAATTGTAAGCGTAGGTACTGTCCAATGACCCACTGTAAATGTCGTCCGGCTGGTCAGTTAGTGGATGACCAGGATAGTGGACTCCTAGGAACGGGGAAAAATTGTTTCTCGGTTGCCGGGAATCCAGGCCTTGACCTCTGGTGCCAACATAACTGTCCACAGGGACTGTGCGACCAGAACATGTGCTATTGTACGCAGACTGGGTCGGGATAGAATCAGGCTGAACTGATGGGTCGGGATAGAATCAGGCTGAACTGATGGGTCGGGATAGAATCAGGCTGAACTGAAATAGAAACATAATTCAAAGTAAAGTTGAATAGCACCTTGACAAGACTATGTTGTCAATGTATATTGCTGTTTACTGCTGTGGACTGCTCATGTTTCGCAGAGGTCCTTGATATACTTACAAAATATAAACATCGCTTGCGTTTTCAATAAAGGAACAAACATTCAAATTAACCTTTGATTCTGAACGACTCCATTACCCTATGTATAACAGGATATTATATTCCCTACATAACATCTGTTCATTATAGTAGAACGTGCCCTAATATTTTATAAAACATGTCTGAAATACAAAATAATTTTTTGTTTGTGTGTTATGTTTTTTGTTTTCTACATTTGAACTTGACGAGACAGCAAGTAAATTAAATTCTATAGCAACCATTATCATTAGCATGTTGTAAGAATCAGCATGCTTTTGTGCCCTCTACTATGGGACACCAGGCGATCAAACTAAATCTGCTGCACACATCACACTATTTGTGATTTGTAATGTTCTCTCCTCGTCTATCTACCTCTTGTTTCCTAGCAGATTGCTTCGCGATACCTCACTTTCGGCTTGGTGTCCCTAAACGTAAGCCAAAGTGAAGAAAGGCAATAGGTTCTGTCCCCAGGCCGAGACATACCAAAGTCCTTTAAAATTGGTAGTTGTTATTCCCTGCTTAACGTTCACCATTTAAGGTAATAGTTACATGTGACCATGTGGAGTACTGTAATGGGTGTCCTTTGGCATGATATTTCATTGAGGCAGCACTCTCATATCGGCATTAGACGCCAACCACCTCCAGCAAGCATGCTCCATAGTTGTTTAATTTCTCAGAGTTAATAGTTTGCACTTGTCCCGATGAGAACTGATTCGTTGGATTACATTTCGTGTTGTTTACACGGGTAAAACAAATGCGCTAGAGACTGTACATTTGTATTTGGGTGATGGGATTTATTAATTTTTATCAGAATAAAGTAAATACGATATTGAATTGGTGTTTTATCTCCATTTTTCGACAATAAAGGGGTGAACAAGTCTTTTCTTTTATCTCTTTATATTCATAGTACTGGGTATTTGATTTCGCGTTATCTTTTGTGACCGCGAATATAGCGGAAATATATGCCCAACAAAAATGACCATCCAGACAGTATATACATACACGCAAAGTTATATGACCTTAACTATTAAAAGGAAGCCAAATTCAACAAGAGGCCCAATGGGCCTGCATCGCTCACCTGGTATTGATCTCACACTTGTTATCTTAAAAGTGGACTAAAATACAGCTACAGGCAGAATTTCAGTATTTGATTCATAAGAACCTATTAAAAGATTAAAACATATGACGTCTGTGACCTTGAATGTCGAACAAGGACATAAGGTTGAACAGAGTTTATAGTCTTCCAACCCATTTGCTTATTAAGAAGTCGTTTTAAGGTTTTTAACATATTTTACCCCTGTGACCTTGAATATATGTCAAGGTCATTCATTTGAACAAACTTGGTAGTCCTTCATCCCAGCATGTTACTGGCATTATCCTAGGCCTCTTGGTTATTCAGAAGAAGTTGTTTAAAGGTTTAAAACATATTTGACACCTGTGACCTTGAAAGTGGGTCAAGGTCATTCATTTGAACAAACTTTGTAGCCCTTCATCCCAGCATGCTACTGGCCAAATATCATCATCCTAGGCCTTTTGGTTATTGAGAAGTTGTTTAAAGTAAAATATTGATGCCGGACGCCGCACCACGACATAAGCTCACTTGGCCCTTCTGGCCAGGTGAGCTAATGAAACCAACCAAAACCTAACTTATTTCACAGATTCTTCACCTCTTGAAAGACTGCAGGGTGCCTATGGCATGTTATTTCAGTAAGGTAGCATTCTAATATCGGCATCAGAGTTTTTTTATTTCAGAATACTTCATTGTATAGGTCTTGCATACAAAAAGAATTAGGCAACAGGCAAAGCCTATAAAAGCCCTCTCCTTGTCGGCATCAGATGTGCATTATAGCAAGGAGGCACATACATTACAAATATGGAGACCAAGTCCTTAACACACAAGGTACCAACAAACTAATTTTATGGCCAATTTCACGATTGTAACATATTCATTTTAGAACTTTTCAAAAGAATTCTGTCATCAAATCACATAATGCATCCCATTTAGCAAGTCCCCTGGGATGGGGACTGATCAGTGGATGGGCCAATCTTGATAGCATGGATGAATTTGTGTCACATTATCACAGGCCTTACAGTTATTTCGCTAGCGGATCCAATCCCTAGGTCGGGAACAGACTTCAGGACAAATTCTGGTACCACGACTGCATTAATACAATGAGGTTGAGAAAGGGTTTACAAGTCTCTAAATATAGGATGGGTATCTTGATCGTTTCCATGGGGGTCACACCCTCCATTTACACCATATTGAGTCCCCTTGGCACAAGAATTCCTTCATCAACACAGAAGAAAGATGGTGTTTAATCTTTGGTTCCTCTTTTGGGCCCCACCAATGGTCATCTGCTCCTAGGTGGGGGCTACACTCTCCATTTATACAAAATGTAGTTCCCTTGACCAAAGGATACTCAAGACTGAATTCAGATAAAACTTTCTTTCCTATTGAAGAAGAAACCTACATGTTTAACACCTATTTGACCCCAGAAGGACCACGATCATGGTTTATACAAAATTAGTCCCATAGCCCCAAGAATTCTCCAAACTAAATTTAGATGAAATCCCTTTCTTCCTTCAGAAGGATTCTAAAGATTAACCTTTAATTCCCATATTAGGCCCCGCCTCTCTACTCCAAGAGGGTTACACCCACCGTTCATACAAAATTGAGTCCCCTTGACCCAAGAATGCTCCAGACCAAATCTGTTTTCCATTAACAGTAAAACATTTGTTATTAGATTGCATTGAGCTTCAGCTAACATGATAAAAAAATATATGATTATATAACAAATCTCAAATCTCTATTTGAAACAGTAACTTGTAGCTTATTGAGGCAAAGGCAAGGTCACCAGGGTCAAATGTGTGAACAGGAATTAGTTCATACAGCGTAGATAATAACAGACAGGTGAGCTATGCAGACCCCATGGGCCTCTTATCACTTATAACTTTCATATAAAGGAGAAAAACACAATCTCATGATAAATGTACAAGCCATTTATTAGGCACAATTGAGTAAGAACACAACTGCATATCATTTATACAACAAGTACTTGTAATAATTTAAGAGCAGAGATGTATAAGCCAATGAAATTTACATTACAGCTTCACCTCTGCCAAGCTACATTTCTATATGATAATGTTTGGGTTCTTCATGTTAAAACTTCATTATCCTACATGGTTTACATACTTCACATCTGTCAAATGTCAATATGATAATATTTAGATTCATGATGCTGAAAAAAAAGACACTTCACCATCAAGCAATCTCTATGTATTTCTTCTGGGCACACGTTAGTGTACCTTTGCCATTTATTTTTGTGGGCTCATTATTTTTCAAAATAAAGGACATGCAGCAATAACTAAATACAGGTATCCATGTTGTGATTGTTATAGAGAAAACTACAGAAAGCTTCGAACATCTAGAATGATGAAATGTATTTCCACTGAATATATCACAACTTATCATCAAGCTAACAAACTCGAGTGCACAAGATAAGCTAGATCAACCGAGTTAGCGAACCTTACCGTTTTATACTGCAACTTAAAATCATACATGAATTGCTTAATATTTCTACATTCAGTTAGTTAGTCTTGTTGACTTTGTGTGTGATAACATGTGCTTAGATATATATCCCATGGAAAAAAATGTCAACATTCTGGTCAATTGAATCCTTTTCTGACACTTTCCTTGATAATTATCACTACCGTAGTACATTAATATGGTTAAAAGTAAAAAATATTTTATAAAATGTCACTTAAAAAAAAAAAAAAAAAAAAATCCTACTCAAGTTTCACCAATGATATTGTTTCCTTGCTCTTCTTGATCCACTACCAAACTGCTTCCATCCTCTTTATTTTGAAATGAGCCCGAACAAACTTTCTACACAAACATGTATGTGCCTTGATGCAATACCTTCACAGAATAACCTTGGCAGCTCTCACACTCAGCACACATGTATGCACGCCAATTCTTTTTTTTATAATCCAGAAGATCCACATGCACAATGACCAACATTGGTTGGAAATAAAATTCACCCACAGTCCTTGAATTCAAAATAAAAATTATCCATAGCAAATAAGTTAATTACCGTACTATCTTTAGCAAACAACTATTTACTGTCTCATCCATAGCGAACAAGGTAATTGGATAGCACACTTGACTTTACCAAGACAGCCAGGGTTTGACTCTACAGTTGGATGTGAAAAAGCATTAAAATCCCCCTCCACGCTTCTATCTAGACCAACAAGAGTGATTGATATAAGTTGAAAAAACTTGTTTTGTCATTGTTGTGAAATAAATAATGTCTATTGTTGCTTATAATTACTGCATTATCGACAGCAAACAAGTTAATTACCATATTCAACTTAACAAGTGCCCGACACTTTGGGAAAACAAAAGATCACAGAACTTTCCAATAAAGGATAATTTTGTTAACGTATTATGGTACTGGTTGCTCTAGAAATGGTCGCTACATGATTTGACTAGATGACATACCGATAATACCCCACCACTTACAACTCCCTCACTTAAACTTTCCATGTCCAATATCCAACATCCCTTACTCAAACGGAGTTGGTACATGGTAATACGGAGTGAATGTTCACAAATGTCAAGAAACCTTTACTAAGTAACGTGTTTTCACATGGAAATGATACACCAAACATATCAAACCGTTGTACATTGTTTTAGTGGCATAGTTTTAATTGCAAATCGTTGCTAGGTAGTGATCTGGCCAGAAAACTAGCGAGGACTAGTACTCCAGGCTAATTTAACAAAAAAATCTTTGACTAAATCACATAAAAATAACAGTAAATTTATTTGTGAAGACCAGTACTGCAAGTATTAGGAGCAAGAAGTATATTTTCATTAATAAAAAAATCCAAAAACAATCTAGCTATGATATAGCTTGGTTGGATAAAAATTGTGGATCTGCAATTTTGAATGAAACTACTCAAGTCAATAAAAAACTTGCTACAAGTTGTGACAAAATCCCATTTACCGCTCTAAACTCTGTATATAACTCTATTTATATCTTTTGCTTATTACAATCAAATAGAAAATAGTTTTGTTTCAAATTATGCAACTGTACAGAAAGGTTGATTGTTTCAGCAACAGATTAACAAGAAGTCCAGAGGGCCTGTATCGCTCACCTGGATTTCTCATCAAAATTAGTATTGCGACTCAGATCTCAGGTAGCATGACAGTGTTAATATCTTCATAACCTGCAAGTGACAGTATTCCTATTTTCATGACCTGCGATTGTATATCTGATTAAGGAGTGGTGGGTTACAACCATTACCATATTACATGACCCAGAGACAGGTCATCAGGGGTGGGGTAATCCTGGGAGCACATCTGTATAAGACTTTCAATGCCCAGAAATTGTATTTATGGTAATAGGGTGGGGATCTCAATCGTTTCCAAGTTATGGCAGAGGGACTCTTGGGGTCAGACATTTGGGTCCATGCATCCTGGTAGTTGTGTTGTCGTCTTTTCATATTCAGAAACTGTATATATACATGTATGGATGTAGTGTAGGAATCTGAACCATTACCATGTTAGGATCCAAGAACTAAGTCTCTATGGGGAGGAGCAGACCCGGAGACCAATCCTGTTAGCATATTTTAATTAGATCTTTCATGCACAGCAAATGTATAATAAGGTTATAGGGTGGGGATTTCATGTGTTTCCAATTTTCGACACAGAAACTAGCAAGTCCCTAGGGGTGTGGCTAGACCCCAGAGTAAATTATAATCTCATGACTGGTGCCATGTCATTATATTGTATATTTGTTTACTGAGTGGGGATCTCAACCATTTTAAAGTCATGACCTAGTGACTAATTAGTCTCCGGGGGCGGGGGCGGGGGCGGGGCACGTAGCATTTGTGTATTTATCTCTTTATAGTGTGGGGTCTCAACCCTTTCTAAGTTATAAACTCTTGTTCTTGCCCCTGCCCTGGGGTCAGCCTTCTAAATGGTAATATTCTGAATCCCCACCACCTAAGGTTTCCAGCCAAATATGCCTTATCTTACAAGATCAAAGGAAAGGTAGCTTAAAGAAATGTAATATTATATTTTCAATTAAAAAAAAAATCTTGAAACTTGCTTTAACACCAATGAATGTCCTAGTCACTTTGCTGTCCAGTAGTACTAGTAAGGAAGTGATTGGGAAAATGTAATCTGAATCCTTACTTATATCGTGCGACAAGACTCTATTAAGGATGCATGGGTAAAAACAGATCCTGTCAATATACACATGGAAAGTAACAAATAGTAAAATGCCCACTGTCTGATACATTAGAACACTTTGATCTCCATTGCTATTTAAGTGACAAATTCAAAATTTTGACTTTTCAATGCTGAAAATTTTAATGCACAATGTAAATAAAAAATTGCCAATAAAACATGTCTTTAAAATGATTTGTAGAATACCTGGTATATTATCCAATACATGGCATTCCAGTTCTCCATCATCAGTAACTGGTAAAGTGACCTCCACAACCTTTTGTTCAGCAGATGTTTCACCATAAATAGTGTTCAAATGCCAGCACTTATTTAAATAACATATTCACAACATTTGAAAACTGGCCCCAGGATGATAAAGTAGTTTTAGACTAGTCCAAATTTCAAATGTCAAAAATAAAAATAAAAATTGTGTGAAATAGTCAAAGCACAACTTAATGTCAACATCATTTTATTTTACATTACTTGATATGAAAATGAAATATAAACTACATGTACATTCAAATTTGGACTTAAGTCAATCATGATTCTGGGGCCTGGATTAAAAAATCACAATCTTTGCATACAATCATGTTTTCCTAATATTACAAGTCTGGGTCGCAACAACCATTCTAGAAAAAATGAAACTTGGCATAGCGTATAAAAATGATACAGGTGTAAATGTACAATTAAGAATATATGTTGTCCTACAATATTAGAATTTTAATGTTTGAGTTATCTCCCTTGAAGACATTTCTAATAAATCTGAATCACCCGAGTGTTTTAAATTAATATATCCTTCAAATTGTCATCAATTATATAATCTAACAATTATTAATAAAACAAATTTAAATGTTTTTTCATAGTGGAACTCTTTAGAATAGAAGGTGTTTTTGTCAGATTAAGGTAACAGACATCCTTAAAACAAGGTTTGCCACCTGCAAAATTTTACAACCAAAGTATTGCAATAAATAATTTATTATATAACTAATTCAGGTGAGCTAAACCATGTTTTGAATTAAATATGGGATTCAAATTATACATATAAATATATATATCCTAGAAATTTCACAAACAAGGTAATTTTTTGGCTATTTTGGTCCACACATGGGGAAACTACTTAATATGCAGTGTCACAAGTTTGTGTCTCAAATAAGTATTTCTTTTCACAACAACCTTGACTTCTTCTAAATTAAGAATACTTTTTCAACAACCTCAACTTCTTTTATTTTCAATTAAGAATAAAAAGCATGAAAACAAGCAAGCAAATAAAAGATAAGAAATAGAGAAAAGAAAAGAAAGAAATGAAAAAATTGCTTTTCTTTTATTCACTTCTGTAAATAAAAAGTACATCTTTCATGATCACAAATAATTTTTAAAAAAAATGATCATAAGAGCACTATTCTTGTTTTATCTTCTATGACTGATTTGGGCATTAACAAAGTAATCCTAAAGTTGAAAAAAACGAACGAGTTATAGGTATTAAAACAAACATAAGATCTTGCACAATTCATTTATAAACCTAGTCCTACCATCTGAAGTGAAATTATATTCGGCAACTTTCAGTAGGAATTTGTACTCCTTGGCAGTAAGCACACAGATTTTAAGACAAAGGCTCCAGTCTAAAAAAACACCTTGCCCAAGACTTCATTCATTTATAGAGAAATATCTTGTAAGCTTGAACGCCAATGAGTTGCATACACCTCTAAATCTAAACATAACACACTTTCATTGTATTCATAATAAAATTGAACAATTGTTCTTCTCCAAATGAATTTGATTTAGTTGCGTTTTACATTATATGGAATTGGCACTATCAAAAGTTTTATTCTGAACAAAAAACAGTACAGAGACTTTGTGCTAATGGGGGACACTCATATACTATACCAAAATCCTTGTTTTTTTGTTTGAATTTTAATTGTTGAATTAAAATCTTGTACAAAAATGCATTGATTTTGATCATGACTCAAAACAAAACTTTTGGGGATGCTTTTTGAAATCACAAACAACTAAGAAATGCAATAGGACCCAAGTCATTGGCATTAAACAGATCAATCTAGTAACATATTCTGCTGTCAACATACTTGTTCGTTGGGTAAATGCAGAGAAAAAAAAGAAAGAAAAAAGTCCTTAAGGCTCCAAAAAAGTTTGGTGAAGGCCCATCAGTAAACCTTTTCTGATCAGACAACTTGAAGTCTACTTTCAATTTTTTGCACTACAAGTAGGATCCATTTATGTTTTCAAACTAATGCCATCTTCAGATCATTCATGCAAATCTTTTTATTTGTCCAAGAAAACATGTATACATGCAGCTAAATAATAGGACAAATACATATAGGGTATTGGTAGAATTTCAAATATTGTAATGACAAAAACTCTAAAATCACTGGTTTGACCCCATCTTTGATTCAGTGCGGAAACAGTCTAAGGGAGATAACTGGTGAGTTAGAGGATGTGATTTGACATGCAGCATGCAGCTGGTGCCCTAACTAAATATTACAGATTCTAAGTTCATGTACGTACTGTAAATGGATAATAAAGAAACCTTGAGTTGAGAGTACCTAACTAACAGACAGTATAGTAGATGTTTACACCATTGTAATCTAACCTATAAATGACTGGAGGAAAACTGCCATTACAGATGAACAACCACAGGGATAAATTTGTTTACTGGCAAGAAAAATACTGACCAGGAGTAAACCTGAACTCTTTTCCGATCAAATTTCCAGGTACTGCACTCAGATAACCAGCTCTCTGAAACTTTCGTACAAAACATACTTTTTATACCCAAGACATGCATAGGTTGAGAAAACTTGAGCTTCACTGGATCATTGTTAAGCTTCTCCTTCACCTCATAGACAACTCAAACAAGAACTATTTACCTCAAATGTTGCATGCATAACAAAAAACACCACTGAAGGATTCTAGTCATCATACAAATTTAAAATGATCTTGAAATTTTTAATTCCTTTAAATGATTATTTTTGTAAATCATGCATGTACAACCATATCTCTATTTCCATAAAGGGATAGATAACATTTTGGCAGTCAATTAAAATTCCTTCACTTAAATTATTGTAGGTCATTTTCAGTGAATTTGGACATGATACAGGAAGTGCTTGATAATCGTGAAAATAAAATGAGGCTTTGAACAACCTAAAGAAAGGATTGCACATGAGAGGAATGGCATAATGTAGATCCCCACATCGCTATCTGTATTTGTGTATTGTGCAATTCACATAGGATCTCCATGCCCTTGCTTAAGGGTCCCTGTGCCACTGCACTGTGATTTTTCCTACATACAGTGACCTCCCCTTAACTTCCGTTTGGATGTAACTGTATAGCAGTTTGGCTAGGACACTTCCGTTGTCCAGCTAGGTCATTTAGTTAGAGAAAGGACAACAAACTGAAGTGCAGGGTTCCGATCCCTGTCTAGCCAACTTGATAATTTTATTTTTACACTCAGAACTGTTGTTGATTAAATTTTATTTATTTCATCTTTGTTATTTCTCATGAAAGTCCTGCAAGGTATGGTTTGACAGTTTTCATTTCAGAAATGATTTATCAAAGCTTCAGTCAGTCCAGAAAAAACAGTTTCCAACCCTGTTTTTGGCAGTGGTACGGGTATCCTTAACCAAGTGTATTGATCACCTGCATGTTGTTGTTTAAGTAAGAAACTGATAAACAATGTACATGTAAAACGTAAAATCGAGATGAACTTCACTATTTGCGACAAAAGATTTTTCAATGATCTAGAATGGCTTTTTTCATTATGACACTTGAATTTCTATGAATTCTAAAGCATGAATATAGATGTCTTTTATCCGTATTTAGAAGTGCTTGTAAAAATGTATGATTAGATGACAAATTATGATGACAGTATATCAGTTTGAGGGGAATTTTACACAAAGACATTGAAAGTAATTGAGGATATTCTTCCAGCTGTTGGGCTACAAAAAATTGATGCTAATGCACATAGTACACACCCACGATTTACAAAAACGTGTTTACATGGCTCACCTTTAATATATGAATTTAATCATTTCAATATTAATAAATAATTTCTTAAATTGTTTGAAAAGTAAAAAAGTCTGAGCTGCTTGCATATGTACAACTCAATAATACAACCAGGAGCATAGATTATTATCATTTTTGTTGGTCTAGTTGTTTTTTTGTCTTTTCATGATCATTTTCAATAATCTTAACTGGATAGAAAAAACATAATGTGGATTAGGAACATAAAGTATATGTAAAGAGTACCAACAATGTACATCAACTCATTCACCCCTGAAATTTCATAATGAACTATGCCAACCTTTGAAATGGAAGAGTCCAAATGTGTCTTCAGGGATGATTGAGTTACTACCAAAGTCACTATTGTGAAATATTTGAAGTCCTTTTCAAAACAAACATTCCTTAAAATTGCATGTTGCCCAGCATTTTATAGAAATGTAGTCGTTCAGAAATTTGAATGTTTTAAAATAGAGAGAAAAAAAAATATGAGCGAGACTCTTCTTCGCGATTATAACGGATGCAGTGATGCCCTTTAACTAATGCTCCAGCAGTGTGAATGGTGAAGTGTAATAAATATAAGTAGCTTTTTCATATTTCTTCTAACAAATGTCTGTACAGTAAAACCTCGATATATTGCCCCTCGTTTCCTTTGCCACCTCGCTTATCGCCAATATCTTTTGAGGTCCCTTTTGTTTTTCTTCTTAAGAATTCTTTTACACATTTCCTTCAATTTAACGCCAAACCTCTTTATAATGCCAAAATTTCTCGGGACAAATGGTGGCAGTATAACAAGGTTACTGTACTTGCTTCCAAAAGATTGTTCACTATTGACTCATTGCTATAACGTAAACTACATGTATCAATGTTAATTAAAAATTGAACACTGGCAAATGAAAGGATAAAACTGAACAGGCCCAGCCTGCTGATCAATTCAACTGTTAACAGTTCAATTGGCAGAAATTGAAATTGTGGTGTACATGCATGAACCGATTGATTTGAATGAATGACCTATATCCCAAAATCTCATTTTTCACTGTAACTGATGATTTGGGTTCGAGTGAGTTACAATATTTATCAGCGACATAAACTAGCCAGTAGTACACCCACTACCAATCGTAAAAATAAAGGCTAGAGGTTTCATAAGAGATGATGCATATTTGTGAATTCCCATTTAAATATTAACTTTTAGGTAACTTTGGCAAAAAGTAAAACCAATGTGCTAAATGCAGCTACATTCAAGCCTGAACCCCAACATCAAAGCTCCGACTATTTGGAAGTAGTTCAAAGAGTTATCTCCCTTTCACAAATAATTTCACAATTGTTGTTAAAAATTTGAATTCTTGTGCAGCAAAAATTCTTAATCAGCCATGTCTAAACTACTGTTGGATCATTAATCACGAGATTTCTTGACTTAACTGTGGAAAACCTTTTGGAGAGGAGGTGCTTAATTAAGTATCCTATACACAAAGCTCATGACAGGCTTGAGGTAGCTAGACTTCCTATGTTGGTGATGATATACAATGCTACTGTATACACATATAGAGGGTCTAGCACATGGCCTCTCTCAAGCCACATAACCGGTATGTGTTACTATAAATCGCAGAAATTTTGTGAATATTTATTTTTCGTGATTAATCCAACGACCAATTTGCGAGGATTTAAATTCGCAAAAAGGACCAACGACCAATATATGTTCCTTGTTTAATTTTGTCTTAATATTAGCGACAAATTTGAATTCTCAATTGTCTCTCCACAAGAATTGACACAAAAATAAATCTCGCCAAAATATCAGTGATTTATAGTATATGATGGCAGGATTTTCAGCTGTATTCTATCTGATGTGTACGGGTGACCAGTAATGACCTATGTAACACTCATCATTTTGTCCTCTATATATATGGACTCATTTTCACGGTTTCCATTCTCAAATCCATAGTACGAACACATGATATTATCTTGTATGTAATTTGATTTTAAATGTGAATGAATTCACTTCAAATTTGAAGTTAAGAAATTTGCAAAGACAAAAAAAACGAAATTTTAAAACAACCATTTGGAACTACATACTTTCTTGTACATGTACAGATCTAGATAAAAACTTATGAAACTGTCACTGGATGAATATGAGAATGGAAACCTTTTTTTGTAAATATGTATAATATATAAATACCTACAAATACACAGCGCTAGTGACACAAGAATATAACTTTGTTTAACATTGTTCAGGGTACATGTATAATATTTACTCATGCTCAAATGTTAATGACTAAGATGGATGCTAACTCATTCACCCCTGAAGAAACATTTGAACTCTTCCAAATCTTAAGTTGGAATAGTTCGTTGTGAAATTTCGGGGATGAATGAATTAACTGCTAGTTAAACTCACCATTAAGACTTCCACCCACAGATATAGAATCACAAGCCTTATACAAAGTGTGAACACAGCACAAATGCGAAATTCAAACAGTCCCAACATTCTTCATGTGAAAGATTTTACAGATGCTAAAATATTGCTCAAAAATAAATAAAGCAATCATGGGAAACTTTATTCACAATTACTTTTTTATTTACAGGGATGTTTATCCTTTTTTGCGTGTCTGATTGGATGATACTGGTCACATGACAGGGCAATAAAACCTAATGTCTCCCTAATGCACTTAAGTTTCCTTGATCATATTTCTCTTATTCAGAGCCTCTTTAGAAAAATTGGCAAGAGCCACTACAACCTTTAGTTCCGAATGACGGTAGCAGACAACAACAATGGCGCGTCATTTGCAGAGACATGATATGACTAATATTGTGTTATTATTTTTTATATGGTTATTTTCCAGTATAGTAAATTATTTATTGCCGTTGCTTTAGGGAATCACGATTCTTTGTTTTCTCCTCGATTAATCATGTTTCATGAGGGGTTTCACTCAGGCTTTGATGAAACACGATTAACCTTGGAGAAACAAAGAATCATGTTTCCCTTTTGCAAGGGCATTTAATGTATAATATAACTTCCATAATTGTTGTAAAATAAATAAAGTTTATACTTAAATGCACTTACAGCCTTAGAGCCTTAATTTTTACCTGGAAAAGATATTTATTAAACATAGCCTCATGGTACTGAAGGATGTGCTGTGTTTGATATACTAAGACTGCCTGCTCTTATAGGCAATACAGGGGTGCCCCAATAGATTTCAAATATATATAAAATGAATGATTATCAAGAAATTCTGGACCTTTTCTGTTTTGAATTTTATACTTAAGGAAGTCGTGTGATTAATTTTGATAGACAACTTATGTCACCAAAATGGTCTGTAAATAAGTATACAAAACAAATCTACCACAATTTTTTGCTTGTATAGTGACCAATCTGGACAGTCTACTGTTATTTCAATTAGGAATTTAATTTTAGAAGCAGGATAAATTGACCTTTATGTCTCTCTGTGACAGGAAAATACGCAAATATATGAGGTATGTTATTTATTTTAAGAAAACTGTGTCGGAAGAAAGGCGGCCCACTTTTCAAAAGGCGACCCACTTGTCATTTACGTGTGCCCAGCATCCTTACTACGTCCTATACAGTGGGTTAACTCATTCACCCCTACATTTTAAACTGGACTTGCTCAGTCTTTGATATGGTAAGGTTCAAATGCGACTTCAGGGGTGAACGGGTTAAGCTTCCTCTGTAAAAGTACCATATACCTACATGACAGTATGATTTCGAGTCCCTATTTTTAACATAATAATTATTTTGAAATCCCTATTTTAAACATAATAATTATTACATCAAGTGTTACCAATAGGTACATGTATTCTTGTGTTATATAACAAAATATACTTCAAATATAAGTCAATTAATTAGGTATCGTCATATATTTGTTCAGGGATGTTTCCTTATTTGCCTCGAGTGCTCTGCCTACGGGCCTCTCTAGAAAGCAAGGACTAGCATAACCTTTTCCATAAAAATCAAGAATGTTATCGGCTCTGAACAAATCCAATAGTATCTCTTTTAGAGCTGATCATGAGATACATGAACATATGTATATACTTTAGTATAGAAATCCTAAGAAAGTAATAACCATTTCAATAAAAAATCAAGACTGTTATCGGCTCTGAGGATACCTTAAAGTATTCCTTTCGAGTTGAGAGATACATATGTATATAGAAATCCTAGGGATGCTATCACATGAAGAATGAGACGACTGGAACTGTGCACATGATTTATGTTTGGATGAAAGGTTCAACACAATTAATCCAATGGCCCTTGCATCCCAATCAAGTATTGTTATAAATCTCGAGGGAGTAAGGGTTTCAACACAATTGATATAATAATTAGCCCCACCCCCCTAAAGGGTACTGTTAGAACTCTGAGGGATACACAAACGCTTTAACAAGGTAGAGTTTTTCGTTTTCCTGTTTGAATATTGGGTGTCTTTTATAATGCTCTATCAACTCGTCCAGTGAGCTGAATTTCTGTTGGCCAATCTGGTACATGCCGTCATTCACTTGAACACGAAAATGTTTATTTCTTTCACTCGCTTTTAACACCACAGTAAAGTTGCCAGCCTGTAAAGAGAAAAGGGTATATAAACATTTACTTAGGTTTACGTTTCCAACTGCGCTGAATTACAATGTATAAAGCTTCCTAAATCTCATAGAATTTGCCAAGCATCATGAACGAATGGTATTTGTTTCTTGTGACTGTGCATTCAGCTTTTGTGACATCATACATGCATATATATTCAATATCACCAGCTGGTACCTGTTTGGGGCTGGTATTCGATTGTGACCACACTTCAAAAGGAGACAACATTTGTTTCAAAATGAGCAATTTCTAACTAGTAAATATATAAGTTATGTTCATGAACAATCCAAGTATTGAAAACATTTTAAAAGAAATGCTGTATTTTAATTAAATATAATAACATATGATATTTTACTAAAATTGTCCCGATCAACAACCCTCATATATAATAGTAGTGATATAAACAGATTGCATATTTATAAGGAAGTGCAAAAGGTTTGTTCACCACTGTAGAACAAGACAGGACGTAACTTCTACACTTTCACCAGTACAGTACGTTATACTTACAGCAGATTCACTGTCACGGATAAGAAAATCTCCTTCGTCTGCAAACTTTCTCAACACATCCTCGCATTCCTGCCGGGTGATTTTACCGTAGTACCAGTCTTTTTCGGCCATGGGACCAGACACACGGAATTGTTTTCTATTGCCAACAACACTGAGATTTGAGGCATTGGATAGACTACTTGTGGATTGTGACTGCGGCGTACAGGAGCTTGTGTTGGTAGCCGTCTCTCCTTCACTGTCCTCAACAGTCTGTACGTAATTCCGTGGCACAAGACCTGCCTCCCCACGCCCATTCCGTGCCTTCCACCACTCAGGATCAACTGGAGGCTTTTCTATGATCACTAACCTTTCACCTTTTTCAAAACTGAGTTCCTCCGGGTTTGTACTGTTAAACGGACATATTGTGGTGACTGTTTCCTGTGTATCCGGTTCTGGCAGCGGTGGCTGGGGGTAATCCAGAGCGGCAGCCGTAGTGTACATGGACCCATCGTTTTCACTCTGTTCTAAATCAACATAATTAGATGGAAACCAGCCTGTCGTTACATTATCGGCTTTCCTACCCTTCCACCAGCCATCGGATGATTTTTCTAAAACCATCACCCTCTCTCCTTTCGTAAGGGACAATTCGTCCGGTTGTTGTGCGGCGTATGTAAACTTTGATATGGCTGGGGAAGGATCACATATTTGTACATCACTACTAGTGCTGTTCTGGTCACTTCCTGTATCACCGTTTCGACTCACCATGGGACTTGTAACCGTTACCTTGCCCTCCCCTTTATTTTTTCGACCCAACGTATTGCGCAAACTGGTGAGAAACTTGGATGTCTTGGATCGCTTGACAAAATTTGATGGGACATAGCCAGATTTGTTACGAGTGTTTTGGACTTTCCACCATCCCCGAGTGTCGTCCAGTAGAACCAGTTTCTCATTCTTTTTTATGTCAAGTTCTTGAGCATTCTCCGCTTTGTAGTCATACTTGGCGATGACAGTTTGCTCCTCAGCCATGTCAGATGAAGTTGGCATTAGTTACTGGTAGGTGAGAACAGCCACATCTGAAACAGAAGACAGACACAATTGTTTTAAAAGTTACAAACTACCAAATAACAGTTTGTATGTAATTCAATAAGCTACATCTCTATGAAGTTTTCGAAAATACTGAAAGCACCCAGAAAGCACTATTGAAACGTCCTTACGTTAAGCTACTGTAGTGGTTAATACTGACCACCTTTCACAAGTCGATAAACCCGAAAGCTGTTGTCCGATTTGAATTGTGATGATACTGTAGTGTTTAGTTGAACCGCTATAAGATGATCTCATACAGAAATATTTCTTTTAAATTCCTGATTTTTCCCGAGAAACTAAACTGAGTTAATTAAATATAATTGCTTTGACCTGATACAGCATATTATTAGTTCTGATTGAAAAATGTTCCAGTTTACTTTATTTACATGCCATCATGCATGATAAACCATGTTTTAAATCAGTTGGGTGATCTCTCTAAATTGTAAGTTACATTCCCAGTCCTAATTTATTCCTGTATTAAGCCTACATTCCACATATATACGCTTATATACATGAACATCCCCAAACAGTAAAATGTCATTGACAAATGAATTCTGTATTCATGTGTACAAACATTTTTTTTATTATCCTCCACAAACATTAAACATCGCCTGCCCTTGTATAAAAACACTTGAAAACAAAAAGAATTTGCCATTAAAGCATGCCTGTATTTCTTTATGATGGTATAGAGTATAAATGCATGCTAAACCTCAAGTGTCCTTATAACAGAAAGAGGCACCAGTGTGTGTCATGGTATTCCATCTTCAGGCAGCAGCCCTTAACTCATTCACCCCTGAAGATACATTTGAACCCTTCCAATTCAAGGGTTGGAATTGTTCATTATGAAATTTCAGGGGTGAATGATATAAGCCTGGAGAGTCTTAATATATATATGTACATGTATAAAGAATGTAGGTCTTCTTACAATGAATACCACTTAACTTTCCTGGGATGCCTCTTCTGGAATTTTAACATCAAGGTCCCTTTAAGCTTTTTAACTTCTATAATGGTCCAAGACAATTACAAATTACAGACCAAGGATGACAGGCATTTCGATAAGCCCACCATCTGATGACAGTGGGCTAAAAAACCTACACACGCTTAATATCTCAATATTTAACAGGAAAAAGATCTACATCTAGTTTCACTTCATCCAAAAGAAAGAAATGAAAAACCATTTAATATCAAACAATTGCAACTCATTAAAAAGTGCACTACATTTGTTTACAATGAATTCAACCAGGAAGCTAGGTCTCTTTGTGGTCTGATTATGAAGCCATATAAATACAGGATTACTTACAGGAAGTCTTAGTTAGAATTTCTGCAAATAATTAGTAATAAACTTACTCAACACCTGTTCAATGACAAATTTCTGGGATTTAAATTTGTTTTTGATACCTGCCTATAAAGTAGAAAAGGTTAATTAATTGTGTTTGTTCATCCATCAATTTGTTGGTCGGAGGTAATCAATAAAACTAGGGTCGGTGGGGGTAGCTGAAACATATTGATTTTGTATTGGCCTAACCACCTGTAGCGATTATATTGTAGTACACAGCAGTCTGATGACCATACCAATATAGGGGGTCTGTTTTGTTGTTGTACCCCTTATATCAGCAAGACTCTATCACTGGGCACTATATACCACCTATATACACACATGTACAAAGGCTAGCATATATATAGCCCCCTATAGTGCAAAGCACTATCTAGTCTTCCGCGGACATGTACAACTTCAAAAGTCGACAAGCACATACATAATCCTGAAAAACTCATTTTGCTGCCCCCGAAATCGGTAAATCAATCTGCCCATACCAACACTTGTTTGCGTGGCATCGTTTTTACATCATATGAAGCTAATACACGTGAATACCAAGATTACCACAAGGGGCGGAAATGGATTTAAATAGAATACTCCCCCTACCACTGGCCCCTATGAAGCCACTTGCCCTATTGATAAAAGTTGGAACCATGTCTTGTAATGCGATCTTTCTGTGGCTAGGCTAGGCTAAGATAGGGAGGAAAACACCACAGGGTAGAAGTATGTCAAAGAATTTAGTGCGCATCAAAACTAAATTCCACATCTACTAGTCGAACAGCTATCTCCCTTGCTGCTCAGATAAAAATGGGGATACTTTCTTTTGATATCTGCGACGCCAAAACCCACCATTACAAAACTGAGGAATCCTGTTATGATTTTTTTACTGCTGAAAATCATAAGAACAGTATCGTATGAAATGTGCAAAAAAAAAGGGTTTAGTTATAGCCTGTTAAAAGTATCAGCTTGATAAGAAACAGTGGTAATTAATATAAGTTAGTACATTTGTCATCAAACAGCCCTATATATTTACATTGTATCTCCATAACATAATACTGTGTCTAAATACCTATCAAATTATTGCCATCTACATGTAGCTTCCAGGTGCTCAACTGGAGTTATTATAATCATCACCTCATGAATATAGCTTGACAAAACTAGAAAACTATTCCCTAAATAGCGTACAATATTTTGACAGCTGTCGTATTTTAATAGTATCTATCAAGGTATTGACGGCCATTTGATTTTTTTTTTATACATCAACACTAAGTGTGTTAAAAGTTGCACACGATAAGAATCTTGAACTCCCATCACATCAGAAAATAATCATGGAACAGCTTGTTTGAGAACCTGTTCGTATGATTGTACATGCATGCTCTATTAGAATTGAGTCACATGCCTACCAGTTGTGTAATGTGAGCATACATGAACCCATACCACTGCCAAAAACTGTACCTAAGTATTGTAACCTGTATTTTACAGCATGATTATAGCTTTGATAAATTATTTATGAAAAGAAAACCATGCCTTGCAGGACTTTTATGAAAAATAATAAAGACGAAATAAACAAAATATTATACACAACAATGTTCTGAATTTAAAATTCAGCGGGTAAGACCGGGATTTGAACCCAGGACTTGAGATAATTATACTTTCGCTCTGTCTGATTGATCATGAGCTACCGGAAGTGTCCTGGCCCGATAACTGTGCTACAATTTATCCAATCTGAAGTTAAGGGGAGGTAAACAGGAAAATTCAGTGGAGTGGAACAGGGATCCTTAACTCATTCAGTCACCCCTGAAATTTCATAATGAACTATTCCAACATTTGAATTGGAAAAGTTCAAATGTCTTCAGGGGTAAATGAACTAAAAAAAGCTCTATCTCGCATAATTTTTCACCATAAAAGCAAAATAGTGATGTACAAGAAATACAGAGGAAAGTTCGCCATTGATACACATGGATAAAACCTTGATGACATGTTTTTTCTCTTTAAGGATAAGAAGGACAGAACTGTTTCCTATGAAAATTTATAGATGGCCATTGCAATAAAAGAACCCTCTGGCCTCTTAAAATTTATCCCCGTCTAGAATTGGAATTATCCCAGTTTACACGGTACATTTACATTTATGATATTGATCACTGGAGTTCATTTTTGCCAACAGCAGGATCTAAACATGAAACAGCGTGATGAAAAACACCATGCTCCAATTGCAAATAACTGTACTTCAGAATGTATTTATACATCATTTCTATAATATCAATACACTATTTTTAGAAATTACGACGCAACTTTTTATGAATAAATGTTTTCAAATCTGAGACAAGAAAGAACAAAATTCATTGTTCATCAGTCTTTCATGGGACAAAGCTTTCAGTATAAAGTGTAGATTATTATCTGGACATTGCTACAGCCATGGCAAAATCTGGGATAAAAAAAAAATCAAATTAGGAGAAATTGAATTCAGCAATGGAAAGTACCACATTTCAGACAAATTACAATCCCATTTGCCACATTTAACAAGTCATCACCTTAAAGCAAAATTGTCATCTAGCTAGGTCCTCGTCTACAATTTTTTCACCTAGAGGGGTATGTGTGTTATTTAGATATATATCACAAAAAACTGAACATGAAATTAAATGATACATGGGTGTGTGCCTAATGCATTTGCCTCTAGCACATTGACGATAAAATCAATATTTTCTGTCTGTCTGAAAAACACCCTGGAATGCTCAACATTGTCAATGATATCCAGAGGTAATAAAATGCCTATTGCTAAACCAATTTCCTTTAATTCCCTGACTTTTTCTGATCTGTTACAGATTTCGTGTTTCTCCTGGAGGTACCACCACTGAGCATTTTTTCATTTCCACTTCCTACGTAGACAAGATGTTGTCTGCCCCTATATGATTTTATGGCCCGCAATCACCTGTTTTTATCTCTGTTCCCAAGATAGGACAAACACATACATACACGTTACATCACATTTCTGTGATGGTTTCACTGCTTATAGAGATCTATACATGTTACATTCTGGACGATCTGTGATCGACCCATCAACCCATCATCACCAGGTTCAAAATAGCTGTAATTATACGTAGTCAGGTCATGAATTCATCTTAAACATTGCTTTAAAAATAAACAGTTTCAACATTAACCATCCAGTAAACTTATTTTGAAACTATCAATATTGTATAAATGCCAAATTAACAAAATTCATTTAAGCATTGCTTTTTCAACATCCTTCTGATATATGTTCATCTACAAAAACTTGTCCAGCTTATGTTAGCCCCATTTTTGAAACCTATATTTAAAAATTTATGCATCAGTGACATTATTTTTTTATTTTTTTTTAGGTTGGACTAGTACTATGTTGCTTTGGCCTGGTGGATTATCTTTTCATTCACAGTTATTTTTTAAGTTGAATTCTGACTGATAAACAACAGGTACATGTGATTCATCCATTTTCAATAAGAATGGACAAAGGCTGTAGAGTAGTACACTAACAGTACAGGTATAAGTGCAGCATACGTATATATATATCTTTACATTTTAAGAAACAATGGTGTTACATCACCATGTAGACACATAGCCTGGTGGTCTCATTTTTAGACACATAGCATTGATGGTCTCATTATATTTACTGGACACATAGCCTGCTCTCATTATTAGACA